TCTGAAGCCCATGTCCTCCATCTCTTCATTCTGTACTCTGTGGTAGGAAGTCTTATCCTCCTGAGGGAGTACAACACCAGTAAGGAATAATGTTTGTATCAAAGGACAGAAATGGTTTCCATGCTTAGGTAGGTTGTACTTGTCAAAATAACGTTTACATGGATGTCAGAATTGCTTCCCAGTCGAATGGCCAAAAACATCAGTGTCTCTGTCATCTTGGCAACCCGTTTTCCGAGGTAGACAACACAGATATTGCCATCCTTGTGCAAGTCCCCCTCTCTGTTTGAAGTCCAATTTCGACATCTCAGCAATAACATGCATCATTGAGTTTTGGCTCCCATGATCCTGTCAGCAAGTTCAGCTGTTCCCCGTGGACCTCTTTGGATAGATACTGACCACTAGAGCTACACCCTCAGATGCTGATTAAAATATGCAAAGTCTGTCCGACTTACGCTGCTTTTAAATTTTTAAGATAAGTTAAATTGTTAGCTACTAATTTGTGAAGGTGAGAGCACAAACCAGAGGTTGTAAATTGTATGGAAACACTGCCTTTGTAGACTGAGAGAGTCTAGCTGCAATAGGAGCAGAACTCATGTTGCGAAACAGGATTAAGTTTTGATGGAAAACATCTGACTTGGCTGCTATTGGGTTGTTTTTTGTTTGTTTTTTTGGAAGCGCACCTAGCACTTTGTTTTGCCAAGTGCTGAATCAATAGGACTGTTGTAGTCGGATACAGCTAATCAGTTAGCTAAAGACTTCCTGGGTTCTTCTTTGCCTGCCAGGCTTAAAGTGATACAGTCACTGTACTTACCTGGTAAATAATATGAAATCTTAAGAAAATGTCTTTTTTGTGCATTTCAAAAACTTGCAATATTGGCTCAATGAAAAGAAAGGGAACATTTCTTTTCATTGAGCCAATTTTAAAGAAATCTATAATCATGTAATTTGCAGATTCTTGATTAAAAAAAGAAAACTTCTTACATATTCCCAAAGCATAATGTAGAATAGTGGAGCTGAGTGCCTCTGTATAAGGGTGTGTGTATGTTTGAAATTTTTCTTATGTGTGTGTGTGTGTGTGAGCGATCATGGGGCATTCCAGATAGTGTCATCTCTGTAATGAGGATCACCCAGATTGATCTACATCCATCTAATCATCTCTCCGTCTCATTTCCCTGCAACTCCAATCCTCTTCTCTCGCCCTCTACTTCATCGTCTTTCTCACTCTTTCTTCATCATTGCAATGAACTTTCTACCTCTCTCTTCCTCTCCAGCTGTCATACATGTATTCACCCCCTGCATTTAATTAGCTAATTTTCATTTGTATATCTATAGCCATCATTCATGTTTATTAGGGTCCTTTGTCATTGTTTGCCGTTTGTTAGTTGGTTCTTATTAACAGTAAAGGTGAGGCAGCATTCAGTAGAACAGACTCTAAGGATAACCCCATCAGTGTTCATGTTTCACTGACTCAGCTCACAAACCTGTTAAACTCTCACTGCAGAGCCGCTTATCTGTCTCTGTCCAATAAACTCAACTGGAAACGTGACCGTCATCCTAATACACTTACAGAGTATGGATTTTGTTTGTCTAGATGGAATCGCCCCTGAATGCAACATTCACTTACCAATTTGCCTTCATGCTCCAACAGTTCTGTTGATTTATTTTTTTTTTTAACAGAATTTAAAGGAACTATACTTTGTGTTTTATTTTGATATTTTAAATTTAATGTAATATCTTTTTAGAGTGCATAATAAAAGCAAATGGGTCTCAGAAAATGTTTAGGCTCTTTTGATCTCTCATATTGGTACACTCTTTAAGCTAAAACTACATTTGCAGTGTCCCCTGCTAGGTTTTTAGTTTGAAGTGAAGGTTTTAATAGAGCATTGCATCTCTCCGTATCCTTACACAATATTAACAATATCGTCAAAAGGCTCGTTATTATATTAAATTTCCAAGCATCCTTGCAGAGGCCTAATGGGAACATCGTGCCATGAAGATATTTACAGTGTCGTCAGAAGGCTCAATTTTATGTTATCTGGCAAAAATAATAGACTGGAAAGGTAGTCTTGCAATTGGTAGAGATCACATTTTGGTAGGATAAAAACTTCACTGTTTAAAAGTGGCATAAGTCAGTTTTCAGAGGCAAGGTACACCAAGATTCTAAAGGTGAGTTTACAAACTACCAAAATGATTAATTTTACCATTGGAATGGTTAAGCCATGTTGTAATGTATTTGCATACCAGAGTGAGCAAAGTTTCTTTCCATCAGCATTTAACAAGCACTGCATGTGGGTCGTACACTTTCCCATTGCTTTTAACAAACATCTTTTTGGTGACCAGAAAACAAATATACATGGTGTACCACTAAAGGGGAACCTCCTGTCACTTTCATAAAGGTAAGACTGACAGGAGAATATTAGCTTACAGTTAGTAAGCTATGTGTGGTATCTCCTCAGCCAAGCTATTTGAGCAACTAGCTCCACTAATTAAGCTACTAGTATCACCTTCTTACTTGTGTTACTATAAAAGTAGCAGAACAGCAGATGGATATAACGGTCTTAAAAAAAATGTTTTAAATTTTTGTTTCATATCTCTTGCCTAAAAAATAAATAAAAATTTTTTTTATCAAAATTACTGTAACTGCTGCATGGTTGTTGCACAGTTTGTAGTGTTATTGCTCTTTTGGTAACAATTCCAGCTTGGGCTATTTCTATACGGAGTTTGCATGTGTTTTTCAGGCATTTGTTTATTCTCTCTGGGTATTCCAGCTTCCTTCCATGGCCCAAAAACATGAATAGATAATTCGTTGCTCTATATTTTCTTTGGATATGTGTTTGCTTGAATGATTGTTGCCCTGTGCCTCTCTTTTGTCATGCAATGGCTAGGTCACCTGTTCAGGGTGTACCCTGCCACTTGCCCACTGGAGATATTATGAACAGTTTTAATAATTTGTATAGATTGTATAAATACACTGTTATACTAAAACCATACCACGGTAATTACCAGAGCTTTATTTTTTTTTATTTTTTTTTGCGAAAATGTATCTTTTTCCAACAAATTTTGCAATAACAATTTTATTTTTCATTTGATTTCTTTGATTTATCACTTAGCATGTGGATTTGTCATTTTTTACATGGCTTTGAAATTTTGAGTCCATTTGTGACAGGACTATACAGTTAATGCTGCCTGTAAAAGTGTTGCTTCTACTCACATTCATGGTTCTGTGTGTTGGCAAAGCCTCTTTATATCACATATTACCACCACCTAAAGGGCTGGAGTGAGAAAGCTGTTGTCTTAATCTTGTTAAATATATAATGTGACCAAAATTGAGTTTGTTTCAATTTGGATTATTTTGCAAATGCAATTAATTGCAACTCCCAGGTACTTACCTAATGTCATCTCATACTGGCCTTGCTGAGTGTTTTTACATTTAATGTTTTGTAAATTGACACTTCACAACAACCACTTCATTAGAACAACACACATCTTACAATAGTCTACCTGAAACACTCTGTCTGCTTTAATTGGACTGAGCGTAGATCAAATTGCCTGGAAATGTGTTTGGCACAGCTGCTCCTTCCTAGATTTCTCATTAATACTCATTTTGCTAGAGAGATTCACTCACTGTGGTGTAAATATTGGTCTTCCTTGCTTGCACAGATTTTAAATGTACGCTGTGTTCTATAAAATATTTTACTATTACTTGAAAGTATCCTGAAACTTGCTGTCAAAGTTTTGTTTTGACCCATACCTGAGGGCTCACTTTCATGCCATCAACGGCAAAGAAATCCTCTTAATTACAATTGTCTGTATACTTTAACTTTACACAAAAGTTGAACAAAGTACTTGACCTTTAATAAAGGGAGGGAAACCCTTTATGACTCCGCTGGAGATGGAAGATCTGTTGGTGTGAAGATTGTTAATATTCAACCAGTTTCTGTTTGATTTATGGTGATATTTCTGTTTCTAAAGATTTCTCAACATGATGGTATTCTTTGTGATTCAGTCGCTCTAACACCTTTGCTGTTATTTGATAAAGTAAACCAGTTCAACCTGAAGCACTTTGGAATGCAATCAGTCAATCAGGAAGCGGAAATGTTTTCTTTATAGATCCGAGTGGCAGAGTTTTTTTCTTTTTTTCTTTTTTTTTTTTATTCTTACATTAAGTCTTCAGTTTTTTAAAAACTTTTTTTGTTGCCCGGTTTATTTATATGTTTTGTGATTTTATTGTGTTTATTTTTTTTTTTTTATTGTTTTCCTATTTGTAATAGTATGATCAGATGTTGTAGTTTTTGAAAGACAGTGCATCATTTTTTTTTTTCTTAACTTCAACTTTCCTGCTTGTTAAAATATTTGATTTACTCTTAAAAGATGAAATATTATCAAGTTAATACAGTGTTTGTGTCGAGTCATCTCCCTCTTTATTTACCTTACACCTTTAGTCATTGTTAATCTGGTTTATAACCAGTCTTTCTGCACCATGTCTACATTCATCTTCCTGTTGTGGCACCACAATGATCCATAAAGATTAAGGGTTTATTTCCTGATAACGAAGTAAGAGTAGGCTAGGATACTCCAAGGAGAAAGGCTGGGGGTGTTGAGGGTTTTTTGTAGATTTCCTGTAAAGGGAGGGAGGAGGTGTTTCCTCTGATGGGTGCTATTTATTGATAGTAAATGAGCCAATATGTGTTTTGGGCTTTTTTTTCTTTTTAATTTGGATAAATGTGATCTGTAAAGGTTCCTGACAAGACTTTAAGATTAAGCAATCCTATTTTCCTTAAAAGTGTGTCATGGTAACAGGTTTAAATAAAAGCATTTATATGTGGATCAGCTGCGCTTATTTCTGCTATAAGGTCAAACAAACCTGACTAATGTTTTTAGAATAATAAAACCCGTCCTCTCTCCTCAAATGTGTTTGATTAGACTGTTTACCATGTGAGTGTTTGTGTGTTAACATGTTGGGCGACTTGGCTCTGATGGATTGTGTTTTGTTTCAACAGCAATCACCTGACACTATCCCTGGACCGAGCACCGGATCAACAGCTCACAAGGTAAGGAGGAGGCATACGACGCATATAAATGACATCATCCCTTTTTAGTTTTTGCTGTGAAGCACAATAAAGTGTTTATTCATACACAGATGACATCAGTCAGGATATTACCTAAAGCTTTGTCCAAGTTGTTCCACCTCCTATGTTCACACACAGGCCTGTTTTTTGTGCTTCACTATAACATGATTTCGCCGTAACCTATTTCTCAGTAGTGCAATATGCAAAAAGCCTTAGAGCTAGAATATTTTAGGTAGATTATTTCCCTTCCTATTTTTTTTTCCAGAAGATTTAGCTTAAAGGGATACCTGAAGCCACATCTCGGCAGGCTTATGAAGAAGAAACTCCCCCCATAATTATGTTTCTAAAAACATTATATTTGAAAATGATGCGTGCTTGGTCAATTTCTTAGAATGTGTGCTTTAACGTCCAAGTTTTTTGTTATAGAGAACCAGTCTGGCATGGATTCCAATGAAGCCAGTTAGTCCGACATTTGATGCAGTTATGCAGATTGGATGGGAGTGATGTTTGTAGTTTTATAAGTCATTTTATAATTTTGGTTAAACCGTTTTCTCTGAACGGCATAGATGATACTAAAACCCTACATCCCTATTCTGGTTTATCCACAACCAACAAGTTTCAACAGTAGCTTGGAAAAGAAGGTACAAACATGTGAGATGTTTTCCTTTTTTTGTTCCCATCCAAGTTCCTTAGAAACACACAGAAAACTAAAGTGAGACATCAACTATCCGCTCTTAGTTGCTAGCTGGCACCATATGTTACGCTTATATACTGTGTGCAGAATTATTAGGCAGGTTGTATTTTTCAGGATTATTTTTATTATTGGGCCACAATTGTGTTCTCAATCAACCCAAAAGACTCATTAATATCAAAGTTTCATATTTTCGGAAGTTGATGTGTTTTTTTAGGCAAATTAATAGGCAATGTAATAAGAAACAAATATATACCCATCTCACCTGTTTATTTTCACCAGGTAAATCAATATAACAACTAAAAATTCAGGAATAAACATTTGCGACATTCAATAACAAAACAAAAAACAATTCAGTGACCAATATAGCCACCTTTCTTCACCATGACGCTCAAAAGCCTTTCATCCATAGATTCTGTCAGTGTCTTGATCTGTTTGCGATCCACATCGCGTGCAGCAGCCACCTCAGCCTCCCAGACACTGTTCAGAGAGGTGGACCGTTTTCTCCCCCTTTAGATCTCACATTTCATGAAGGACCACAGGTTCTCGATGTGGTTCAGATCAGGTGAACAAGGGGGCCATGTCATTATTTTTTCTTCTTTGATGATCCCAGCCCATACCAGTACCCCACTTCCACCTTGCTGGTGTCTGAGTCGATACGGAACTTGCTGCCCTTTACTGATCCAGCCTGGTGCCCATCCATCTGGCCCATCAAGACTCACTCTCATTTCATCAGACCAAAACACCTCGGAGAAATCAGTCTTCAGATATTTCTTGGCCCAATCTTGACGTTTTGTCTTGTGTGTTTCGGCTTTCCTTACCTTGGCCAGGTCCCTGAGTATTGAGCACCTTGTGCTTCTCGGCACTCCAGACATGTTGCAGCTCTGAAATATGGCACAACTGGTGCTAATGGCTTCCTGGCAGCTTCACGCTTGCGATGATCTGGCTTCAAAAAGCTTGGCAATTTCCAAACCGCTGCACCCCTCTGAAAGACATCTGACTATTTTTGACTTTTCAGAGTCTGTCAAATCTCTTTTCTGACCCATTTTGCCAAAGGAAAGGAAGTTGGCTAATAATTAAGCACACCTTACATAGGGTGTTGTCATTAGGCCTCACACCTTCTCATTACAGAGATGCGCACCACCTGATTTACTTAATTGGAAGTTGGATTTCAAGCCTATACAGCTTTGAGTAGGACAACATGTATGAAAAGGATGAGGTGACGAAATTCTTATTTGCCTAATAATTCTGCAAACAGTGTAATTACCCAATTGTTACCACTTTTCTTTGCAGGGCCTTCACTGATCTGGAACTTGCATTGCATACTATAAAAATACTTATTTTTCTGTAGAAGAGAGACAGCTCAAAACTCAGAGTAAAAAAGTGACTCAAAAACTACACATATCCATAGATATTTTTAATATTAAGAAAGGAGAATCCTACTATACTCGAGTGCATCTTTTTATAATAAAGCCTGCAGTGTCAGAAAAAACACAGGACGTTTTGGCACATCCTCTGCAGAATTGACCAGATGTTCCTTCTGTAACAGCTTTACTGATATAGACTAAAGAAACTGGGCACCAACAGGACGACTTTGAGAACTGGTTTATTAGTCCGGCTATCTGCTCATGTATAGCCTGCTGTCGATCATGCCACTCATAGCTTGCCAAATGCAGTTTTAAACCCATGTTACTTTAAATAGTGATTTCTGGTACTCCTTTTTTCTACACCATCATTGTCTGTTTTTGTAGCCAGATATATTTTCAAATTATAAGGTAATCTATAGGAAGTAATGACTGGCAGTGGTCAGAAACCAATGGCACAGAGAGGGTGCTTTTCTGCTTTGTGCTTTGCACAGTCAGGAGTAACTTTGGTTACTTCAGCACTTTCTCTGCTATCTCATTACTACAAAACAGTTTTTGCACAGTTTTAACTTTGGTGCTTTTGAAAACCTTGGCATCCCTTAATACTTGTGAAAGAGCCATGTCTACTGTTGAGAGGGTGGAGTGTAACATTACATGCTTGATACGGGAAAGTCATTTTTTTAGGACTGCTGTGGTGGTTACCTCGGAGTCCCCTCACAGTGACACCTTGCACTATGATCATACATTTCCCTTTAGTATTTTTGGACCTTTTTGTATATGAAAATAATAAAAATGTGCACCGTTTCCTAGTTTTGCTGTACTTTGTCTCAGTAATGTTTTCTGAATTGTTTTGGACCATAAAATGAATGGAGTGTTTGGCTCATTGCCTATTTCCATTTAGGCAGGTTCCACTGTCAGGCCTCATGTTAAAATCTGCAGTGCTTAAAACTATACAGGAATTTATGCCTAGCCTGATAACTGTAAAGTTAAAAGGTATCAGTGCACAGTGGGCGCTAGTCAACTGCCTTCTGCAGTTGTGCCATTAGGATCTCCTTAATAAGTGGATGATAGTTTTGAGAAAGGAGGCATCAGTCCCATTGAGCAGCCCCTGTAAATGCTGGACAAACAATTCTAACAGTGAATCTACTTCCCAAATTTAAAGAATTAGAGCACCTCATGCTTCTGGTGCCACACTATGAGGACTGTTTTGGCTCCAGAAAGGTTAATATTGGATTTTCAAGCTGATACATGTGCTAGCTATTGATTTTTATTATGTTTCAACAAGCTTAAAGCACGTGTGAGATTTTATTGAAAGCATCTGATGTTCAGTGCAATGTGTGAAGCCTCTTTACTTATGAGGTATGCTCTGGGGGCATGTACACTAAAAGGTCTGATAAACACTACAGAGGCATCAGCCATGTAAACAGTTTAATGGAAATACAGATGTGTTTATGACGGCATTGACAGCAGGACTGTAGACATAGTCAATGTCTGATTCATCAGGGGGAAAGAAATCGAGCCGTCCTTGTGAGCCGGTCAATGACAACAGCATGTAACAACATTAGCTTCCCACAATCTGATTTATGCACCTGCAAATAACTTACAGGTTTAACAAAATCTACTCCTCTTGTTTTTTTTTTTAAATTATTTTAAAAGGAAATGTATGTTCTAATTATATGTGTCTGTTTCAGTCTTGCTCGCAAAGTTTTCCATGTGCCGGTCGGTCTGTTAGGAATGCCTTCCTCTCTCATGGACCGTACCCAGCTAAAGACAAAATCCACCTGGCCAGAATAATACGGTACGCTCGTCTCTCCCCATTTGGTTGTTTGTGTGCAGAATTGAATCGATTAGTTCAGCCAAGCATGTACTCTGCCTCACCAGTCACTGGAGAGCCCCATTTTAATTGGTCAGTCAGGTTGTTCATGCAGGACAATGAACAAGGAGGAATGTGGAGCACAACTCTATGGCAAATGCTTTGAGTTGAATGAAATTAGGCATACTTACAAAATACCCAGATAATTAAAAACAAAGAAAATGATAAATATGTGGATACTGCTACCTTAAACACACCTGCACAGAAAACAGTTTATCTTTGTGGGGAAGCAGAGGGAGGGCATTCACTGCTTCTGAGGAAAACTCTTACGCGGAACTAATGAATAATCAATGGGTATTGATTTGAAAAAAAGAACAACCTTTCTTGCCAAGAACTGTGTGCGCTTCATGACATTATATGGTCCAAGTTGTGCGTTCAAATGTTGGTCTATGCCTGTGTTTTTAACAGGCGTAGCTATGTGGGAGTGGAGCTGGTGCAGTGGCTGTGTGAGCAGTGCGTGTACGTGCGCTGTCGGACTACTGCTGTGCGTGTCTGGCAGGTGCTGCTGGAGCTGGGAGTCCTGCTGTCTGGTAATACACACACCCACACACCCTCACACATGCAGATAGCTAGAACAGGGCTTCCAAATTTATAGCCACCTACCAGCGACATCAGCACATCTCTAAAGATACAAGTGCTTAACTGTTCTTTTCAGCAGAAAGGAGAGCTTCATTTGCTGCCTCATTCACCTGCTCAGCGCATGAGCTTGAATTTAGTGGAGAACTTTCACATTAAAACTGGGAATTACAGCACCATATATCATAGCCCCATTTTCCACTATTGTTTCATTATTCTACTGAAAAGAATGAACTCTCCTGCTATGGTAGAGTTCAGGGGTATGATGGATGGATCCTCTGTTTTCCTTTTGTTAGGACCTTGAACAAAGACTTGCTGCTTTTTAATGGTTTCTTAACATATTTAAGTGCAACATTTGTTAAATTCTGCAGGTTTAAAACAAATAATCAAAACATTTAATCATCTTAGCTCAACTTTTCTGATTATTGGGGTTGGTTGATCACAATTTTTGATAACAAGTTGTTTACGTGCACATCTGACTCCCAAGGTCAACCTGTTTTTAAAATCTTAAACCCAACTATTTAATTAAGAAGCATTAGGATATATGGTGTAATTATTATGATCATGCTTATTGGAGTCACTTCCCTTAACTAAGTACCACTGTGTAGAAAATCCGCTGTTATATGGCAGTAAGTTCCCTATTTTATAGAAAAAATACAGTCTTCTGGCACAGAAATCTATAAAATGCTTGAAGCTTTATTTGTAAGGCTGACCTCAAATATGAACAGTTTTTAATGAGAACCTTAAAAACAATACTTCTAATATTTTAGGATTGACTGTTATTTCCTACTCTTACTGCATAAAGCTACTGTTGCATGTTAAAAATATTTATTTGAAGATAAAGTTTCTCACATTACCACCTGCTGTTTTTGATTTCATTCTGTTTGATTTAATTTCAGTGGACCAGCGGGTGGTGTTTTCAGACTCCAATTCCTACTATCAGTTCAGTTTTGAGGAGTGTGAGTCTGCTTCCTGTGAGTTTCGCTCCAATGAGGGGGAGTGGCCAGAAGCTGTTAAGCTCCTCCTTCAGCTTGCACCATACGTTCAGTTTCGCTCTGGAGGTGGAGCCAATAGCCCGTAAGTAATAAATAAATGTATAGATATACATTAGTTATCCATCTTTGTAGACCTTTGGGTTGTTATACAGTAAAGGTGCCTTTTGGAGGTTTTTAAAAGTATCCAATCGGGTTTTGATCGTATTATTATGTATTTTTGCTGCAAAAAAATTAAATATAAGTAAATGTATTTTTCTTCAAATAAGTGAATTTTTTCTTGTATTGAGTATATAAATGACATACTTTGCCAATGGAATAAGATTATGCATTTGTTAAATAAGGAAAAACAACAAATGCAGTCTCTTATTTCAAGTGCATAATATCTAATGATCTTATTTTAAGGGTAAAAATACTCACGCCATTGACTGATCATCTTATTTACTGGCTCAAATTAAGGGTAAATGAAACAAAACAATACATAAACCTCTAGAGATAAGAGAAGAGACAAGAAACAAAAACAAATCAAAACAATATCATTCAAACCAGAAAAGGCAAAAAGACAAGACAGGGGAGACAAACAGATGTTACAAGAGAGCAGATGAGTATATCACTTTATTATTTTCTTAATAAGAAATACTAATTATAACCAAACAAATTAGTTATAACATGAATCACACATCTGAGAACAAGGGAGCGAGATTTTCAGGAATATGGATACATCACAAATGCTTTGGTCTATTCTTCAGTCCACATGTACCTTTGGTTGCCTTCAGCCATGTTTTCACATGCTGGAGGAATGTCCAGAACCTATCCTGTGCTTCCGTCTCCTGTTAAGCTTATTAACTCTTTTTCAGTAAAGCCAATTACTATCTTTGGTGAGTGTAAAAATGTTTTAGGAAATTTAGGGAAGTTATTTTTAATTTTGCAGATTTTGTCCACTTTGTCTGATGCGATACTTCAGATTGCTCACTAAAAAACAAGGCTATTGGCACTCACAGATGCTTCTAAAGCTCTGGATGCATCATGTAAGTCAAGTGATTAAACGGGTCTTCAGGCACTTCACATACTGACAATTTAATCTATGCAGAGTGGTTTGCATACTGTGGGGCAGCTTTCTATGAATGCAGAGTGACACTTTTTCAACATCATTCCTGTAAATTGACACAATACATAAAAAGTTATCTGATTCCCAATAATAGCATAAAACAAGATGCAACTACAATTTGGGAAAGCTATCATTGTAATTTACAAAAAACTTTTAAAGACTTTATTATTATTAATATATATTGATATATTGACCTATCCATGTAAAGCAGATTTCTGATTCCGAACGTGTCAATGCAAATATTTCTGGGACAAAAAAAGGAAAAAAACTTTCCTAAATACATTTTTCTTTTCTAAAATACAAATGTGAAGACGACTTTGGTGCACATATTGTTTTGTAGGTATATGCTCCTCATGCTGCTGCCTGTGCTCTGTGTCCCCTGTGTTGTTTCCCGAGCTTTATTCTGTACCCGCCTCTCAAAGAACCCAAACAGCTGAGGTATTCAACTTTAGAGCCACTGAAGAGCAGAAAAAATAGCTTATCTTCTGTGCAAAGCATCACCTAAAGAAATGTCATCTCACCCATCAGAACTCTGATGCATAGTACAAATAAGATGCATAGCCATATTCCTAACAGTTTAAGCACATGCAGAAGCAAGGGTCTATGAACTGATTTTTAGCTGCAAATCTTGGGAATAAGAAAAGTGTTTCCAGCACTTGTAGCAGTCATTAATTTGTGGCAGTGATGGTGAATTATACAAGCAAAATTCTCTAGGAGGGAGAGCCCGCTTTAAGTCAGAAAGACTTTTTCTTTCCAGGTAAAAGGTAATCTCAAAAAGACATTTTTAAGCTAGAATGATACATTTCTTTGATCAATCTGATGATTTATGTTTGAGGCTATAAATGAAAAAAACCTATAATGGTTTAAATAAATGGAAATTGTTTATTTAAACTCCAAGAAGAAGCTTTTAAAGAGATGCAAATTTTTCACCTCAGAATTTCTGTTTCCCTCTTTGGAAAATTATGCTGTTATGTTAATCTGTAATAAATATTCTATTACCATTAACATTTTAACATCAAATAACAAAAAAAAAAAAAACGAAATAAACTAATTAGAAATCTGGAAATTGCAGTTTAACCAAAAAATGTAGAAGCCCTGGAGACACTAGAAGGTCTTCACTGACCTGAAATGAAAAGCTCATTGTTCCTTATAGTAGCCCGAAGTGACGAGCATTTGCGTTGAAGGTCATTTGTCAATTTGATTTGTGGTCGGAAGAAATAAAATGTAAGTTACACTGGTGTGTGTGCTTTTCTGTCCTTGGAATAAATAAGTCATGCATCCAAAGATCCTCCTTAAAATCCCTGTGAGGAGCTTAATCTCTGCTCAGTGCTTTACATCCTGTCTCCATAGTAGCCTATTTATTCCCACATACACACCTGTTTATAAAGATGAAGGGCACTTGTATTGAAAAAGTGACACATGATGTGATCACTCACATACATGAGATGGTCTCAGGCCACTTTCAGTCATACACTCTGAGTCGTGTCATTCAGAGTTCCCTGCTTTGCCGTGACTGTAAGTCTGGCTCCTGCTGAGGCAGCCACTGAACTCAATCTGTCACTCAGAGAAATATAGTGAGATCTGTACGTGTTTAATGAAACTGAAGCATATATGGAGAGCGAAGAGACTCTCACGTCAATGTATTCTTCTGAATGTCAACTTAAAAGGGTGCATGTACAGACAGCATGTAGAGGAGCTGACAAGATGAATCCAAATGTCATATTTATGGTAACTCTTGTGTAGTAGGCACATAGACATCTGTAATTTGTATCAGTAACTCTATACAGTATTGTCGCTGACAGGCACTCCGAGTTACTTTATTTCACTGCTTGCACAAGTCAGCAGGGTTCAGACTAATGAGTGGAAAACATCAGAGCCACTTTGTGTCCAGCTGAGTTTTCTAACTAATCGTGTTCTGACAGCAAAGCTCTAAAAACCAAAGAATTTTTATAGCTTTACAAATGCAGAGATGTTGAAAAGTCTTGAATCATAGCTCTTCAGAGGCATAAATATTTATTTATGTCATTTTTTTTTTATCCTTCAATCCTTTATTCATTGTCTTTCAATCTACTCTAAGTGCAGGATAATTTTCAGAGGTATCCTTTATGTCTGACAAGCTACCCTGGCAACTGAGGTCATAAATCAGACATAAATGCTCCTCATTTTAAGGGATGAACAGAGTGTCTTCATGGACAAATTGACAATCAAGCAATAGAGTCTGACAGTGTTTTGGCACCACTGGGATGAGACGGTTATCACCTGAAAACCTGGCATATAGTAGAAATAGCATGATTCATCTCCTTAGGTCCGGTTTCAGGTCTCTGCTGGATTTTTACAAATGTGAAATTATTATATGGTACCAGCGAAAAATATACTGTAATTTATACAGTTTTTTTTTTTTACTTAAACTACACATTTCAATGGATTTGTAGTTCATTTTTATATTATTGAGCAACAGAAACAAACACTTGGTGAGGAGGAAGGAATACAATACATGGGTTTCTAAATATGGCACCACTATGTATCACAGTTTGAATTGAGGTTTAAAAGTGATGTTCCGTTTTAGTTCTATTGCAGACCATAACGTTTTTTTTTTTTTTGTCCCATCTGTCCAGAGCAGCCTCCTCTGCATGTTTGGGGGTGTTCCCTGGAAAACGACAAATGGAATTTCTCATGGCTTTCTTGACATTCTTCTATATACAGGCGGTCGGATTTGGTGGTTGTGTAGATAATGGTGTTCTGGTTTATAGACTCTATCTCTTAAGCTGTGGATCTCTGTATCTCCTCAAAAGTTACTGTCAGCCTCCTGTCTACATCTGGTCTGTCGGTACAGGTGGAAAGCTGTGTCTTGGAAGGCTCTTAATTGTGCTTCACTAGCTACGACACAAAAAATCTGTGATTTATCTATAATTAGAGGCCTGATCAGATAAAAAATATTTGATGTTAACATGTTAATCTGAAGATTACAATCTGATTTCATCAGATCGGAAAGAGAGAGGTGGTTCTTCCTGATTGGCATTCCATTTGGTGTCCATGTTCACACCAGTTTCGGTCTTTGGAGAAAAATAATCTCCACTGCGCATGTGTACAATGTCAGCGTGATGTTTTTCAGACATTTTTCAGGAAAAATTAGACAGTTTTGCACATGCTAAAATTATTAAATCTGATTAAACACTTGGTAGATGTGTACACATGTCTTGATCAGATCATTTTACTTTGTGTCCAGATAAATGGAGATTTGGCATTTCCAATTAAACAAGGATTAGAGCAGATCATGGAAATTTTGAGTATGTAAGCTTAACTATTTTTTGCATTTTCAGATAATTGATGACATACAGTAATGATTGAGGAATTCAACAGTTTGATTCAGCTGGTGCATCTTAAAATTGCAGAACTTGGAGACCTCTGCTCTAAAGGCTGTTGGTCGCACAGAATTTTATTTTATCGCATTAGACTGGAGGGGGTTAAATAGGTAGGCATGCCATTATGTTCATGTTTTTATTTTTAGAAAAGAAATTGAAATCTTTGCAGCCTTTCCTTTTAGCTCAATGTTTATGCATTCCTTTGTGATGGTCCAAATATAAACACACTCAAGCTCAAAATGAGAAAAGATTCAAAAGGGATAACAACTGGAAGGTACAATATGGCTTTAATGCATAGTTTTTATTTGACTGAAAATTACCCTTTTTAGGAATCCATTTTTTTTTTTTTTTTTAAAGGTATAATTAGTATCATGCTGTTATGGTAAAGTTCAAGGACTGGATTTAGAACTTATACATAACTATTAGTGCAAAAACCTAAAATACAGTAAAATGTGTTTGCAAATGTCTCTCCATTTCTCAACAGAGGACCATTGTACAGTCTCACTCCCTGTTTGCCTTTCTACTTAAAACTGAAACCTTCAAGCTATGTTGGAAAAACAAACAAACAAAAAATAGAATTATGTAACCAGCATGCTGGTCAAAAACACCTGATGTACCAGAAATGTATTGGGCATTCTGCTCTGCATGCTTCGCTTGTCTCCTCTGTCACAGACTGTTACTTTTGTTCTTTATCAATTATTTCTCTCTGTACGTTAGTCTTTTACCCAAAGAAGGTTTACTTTGATTCTGGGATGAGATAGTATGAGGGATCTTATGCTGTGTCCCTGAAAACATCAAAATTCATATAATTACTTTACTGTAACATGTATACTTTGGTAGTTTCTTCACATGAACTCATTTAGCATCAGAACATAATGCTTCCTGTCAAACCCAATGTTTGGCTTCATCTGATTTTTGCTTTTTCAAAATAATTTATTTAATCAAGCTTTTCATTTTTCTGCCAGTTCATTCAACTTGGGTTCATTCATCTATAATTTATGAAAATTTAGGCAGAGCTTTAATCTGGTACTTTGAGTTTGAGGGAAATATGTGTGTAAAGTGCATTTTAAAGGTTTAGTGCGGTGAGAGACAACATTAATGTTTAATTGTTAGATGTTCTGCCAACTTCAGTGGAAGGCTGCATTTGTTAAAGTTTGCTGATTAGACTGTGAACTTGTTATGGAAGGGGTGATGTTAATATTTAAATCACACTACCTGTGTACGTAATTCATTAAATCATAGGGTACTTCAGTATCTTTACAAACTTAAAACAAGAATTGAATCTAAGCTTTCCATTAGGAAAAAAAAATCCCTACTTGTTTATTTTTCATGCCTCTCCTTATACACATGTAGTAAATTGTTTGGTAGAGTAGTTGGAAACAATTAGCAGTTGCTTTCCCTGTCTTTGCATGGAGAAGGAACAGAACTGCCAAGAGCTAAAATATGACACCTTTGCACTGAAAGGAGGAATGTTTTTGCTCGCTTTGCATAGTACTTTGGTTCCACATGCTTCATTTATCTATTTTAAATGAAAGATTCAGATTCTGCAAAATGCATCTACAGCATATGACATTCATCTGTTACTTAAAAAAAAAATCTTACACCAGTAAATACGTCCAGCTGCATCACAGCGCAAGCTTTCAGCTCTTAAGACTGAACATGTACATTTTTCATGAAGAACGATTTGTGTTCTTTGCATCATGAGGCGCTTGATGTGCTTTGAATGAGGAGGTGGTGCAGGCACAGATCATGTAATTCCTCAGCAGTGCTACTTGCTGCTTAATGGCTGGTGACACATCTCCTACTGTGTTTCACCTCCAGCTCTGGTACCTTCAGGCTCACAGTGAGTCACCAAATTACCAGCTGAAAACCGGCTGAAAATAAAACCTAATGATCCCGAAGAGAATGGATTTAGCATGATAATTTAGATAACCTTTTTTTTTTTTATATCTACAAAGGGACTTCCATATTTGGTAAACATCTAGCCCCGTTTCACCATATTTAGGAGAAAAACACTTTTGTTTATCCCTGTTGTACAGGATTGGCAGTAAACATATGGCGCTTTCACTCTCCTTCAAGGCATCTAGAGATCCACCTGCCTGTGTCTATATCTGCTCTAGAGTTCTGTAGCTGCTGTGTCAGGCTGAAGGCTATTGTGTTATCACCTAGTCTCTGGCTTCTTCATCTATCATATCCCTTATCAGATCACACTGTACACACATGCACACACAAAGTCATACCAGGTTTCCTCTTCTTTCCTCCACAGCAAGTTTCACCGGGATGTGTGGATGCAATCCAAATTGTATGCAAATGGAGCTGAGCTTGTATGTGTCTGTATGCTTCAGGGTTGAATGGGTGTGTGTGTGTGTTGGGGGGGATGCAGTGCATGGGAATCCAGCCCTGTGCTTTAGTTTTCTTAGAGTTCATATTGGAAGAGGCACCCTGAGGTGCCGTCTACTGCTGTTCAGGACCCTCTATGCAAACCTTTTATCCCTGCTGTTAGAATAATGTAGAATTTACCCCAAGTCCTTTCACTATCCTATATATGCGCGCCGATGAGGACAAACACTAATGCATTCATGAATGCACACAGGCTTAGGAAAATCCTTAGGATTTAGACATCCACATGCATTGTAAAGATATATTCTTACAGCTGCTGCATTGCTGAGCTTACATCCACAGATCCTGAATGTGGAGCATTTTTACATGAGGCCACATAAATGAAAAATAGAAATTTCGTGAACACATAGGCTTAATGAAAAGTAAGACCAGAAGCAAACTTCTTAAAGCAGGTGTTTGGGCTTCTAGAGAAGGATACCTGGTGTAGGATTTCATCCATTTAAGGATAGACGCTATTCTAAAGAAACTCAAGTTTTTTCTTTATTTGATTAAAACTAAAATGCAAAGAACTATTACATTTAAATCCATATAGTTCTACAAATGTCGAATATTTCCCTTTTTTCTCTTATTTTCTGTATGACTGGACCATAATTTCATAATGCATTGTGTTCTGAGGTGTTGTGATAGATAATCTTAGGAATTAGACACATCCACATTTATCTGAAACAGCAGGATATTTAAAAAAAGGGGAAATTTGAAGGTGGATTTGTTTGAATAAAGAGAACTAATTTTCATATAAAATATTCAACATGTGTGTTTTTTATGTCCATGGATTCAAATATCCAGAGGAGATTTTCATATTTATGTAAGATGTAGTTCTGTTCACAGGATGCCAGGGGGCGGTGTAGAAAGACTGCAGACACAGGTCTGAGGGGAACTTTTACACCTGAGGGTTGTTTGGTTAGAATATTAAACAGTTGCAAATAAAGCTCTGTCTGCTTCTTTAAGGTCAGAGGAAGACTCTGAAGGTAACCGGGACATCTGCAGTGAAATCCTTCAGATGAAAGCTCTGGAGAGACTTACTTCTACGGTTAGTGCAACCCAGAATAAAAAAAATAGAAATAAAAAAAAAACCCACACAAATAAATAGATCTGATTAAAGAAAATCCTCAAAATCATTGTTTGTATTTTTTCCTGTCCCTCTTTTTTATTGTTTTGAACAGGTACAGAGTGAGTTGGCAGCAGCTCTCGCTAGAAAGACTCGCAAAGCTTGTAAGTAATGTTGAAGTCAGATTGTTTCCTTGAAGCACCTTTTATTATAACTGACCGTCATTTACTCTGAAACTATGCAGCTATGTATTAAATAATAATCGGGAATATTATTTTCTTTGGTTGCAGTATCAGAGCAGGACTCTGAGACGACTGAAACAAGCCGGCAGGAATGTAGCACGCCCAGTGAGGAGAGCAGCCCGGTAATATACACACCAACAGTAACTGGAGTATGTTATTGAAATGGCCCAATCAGTTATTTAAACCTTTTTTCCCCTGTTGCTTTGCTGCTATACTGCATGGAGATTGCAGTATGCTAATGTAGACTATATTTCCTACATACACTGTTACACACACATACACACACACAGAATGCAGTAAATACAGAGCAGCCAGTTCAGTTGCAAGCTAAACACAACTTTAAAAGAAATAGGAGGAGGTTTCTACTTGTTTTTCCTAAAAAAGGTCACTTGAGTCCACGTTTTATTTATGTGGAGGTACACACATGGCTGAACTGAGAAAACGGGGTCAGAGAAGAGTGCAGAGCAAGACCTGTGCTCTCCCTCATCCCGTGTCTGTACAGTCAAAACCTTTTCCCTCCATCAATTATTAATTCTCTCATCACATCATAGAGATTAGCAAAGGTGGGGAGAGAGCCCCATCACACACAGTGTTTTCTACTTCAGCACTTTACATGATTTACAGCTGAGTTAACATAAAAAAAGTTATTTTCCTATTTATTATTTCTCTTGTTCTTATTAGATTTAAATGAGCTATTGTTAAATAAAAAATATATTGGTGTAGTCTGCCCTACCCAACACCAGATCAACTGTGCTTTTAAACACAAAAGTGGAAGGAAAAAGTGAAAGGAAATCATTAAAATGTACAAAACGCATTGTGAGTGATATTGATTTTGACTATAAAGAACAGAGAGCTAGGTGAAATACTATGAAGTAAAATGTAACCCAGTTTGCATTAAGAAGGGAAGCCCTGAGAGAGAGAGAGAAAAAAATGAAGAAACTGCATCGGTACAATAAGAAAAATAAATCATAACATTTTATAGCATTTTCTTTGGAACCACAAATTAATTGAATCTGTGGAGATAAGGGTGATAGCTTTCCAACCTCATCATCACAGATAAATCATCAAAACATCAGTGAGAACATGCAAAGAGCAGGTTGTTATTACTGAGAACAAATGTCATATTGAATCAAAAGTAGTATTTAAACAATTTGCTTGATGTTTGAATACATGCTGTGCTTAACTAGGTAGGAACATATTAGTATCATTAAAGATTCTAGAATTATATTTTACATAAACGTTGAAAGACAAGTAAAAATCAACTTCGAATCTTGGTCTTAAGTCCACATTATAAGGAAAAGCACTTAAAGCATTTGTATTGTCTGAAAAAAGGAAGTTCTCATTTGCTACCTTCAAAGGTTTCCACTAATCTGAAATAAAACCTTAATGTATCAGATTAAAGGAAATGATTATGCAAGCTTTATTTCCATCAAGGGTAATCTTACCTACTGCTGTTTGCTTCAGGTTTATTTACTAGAGAAACTTTGTTTGTTTGGAATGAAGACTCATATTCTAATTGACATTAGCAGGAAATGCTTATAAAAATATTCTCTTCAATAGAAAGACATTTAAGGTATGCAGTATTGGCTATTCCTGTTCCAAGTGTGAAAAGGTAGAAATAGAAAATAAAAGCACAGCTTTTCTGCTGTGTTATTTTTATATTTGTAACCCTTTTCTACTTAAACTGGAAAAGCAAAAAAAAAAAAAAATCAATTTGAGGGTTGAGGTCAACATATCCACCTCAACCTGAATAACCACTGTGATTGGTGATTAACAACTTGGTGCATTTCTGCCATCCTGTGGTGGTGATAGCTGACCTTTGCTACTAGGACAATGTTTGCTGTCCCAAAAATATCACAGTGCCTTACCAGATTATATGGTGTGTGTATATATATATTTAGCTTGTCAGGTAGAATTTTTTTTTTTAATTAGGCGTGTCATCTTTCTTTTTATACATATCTGTGAAAATCAATTCCCATTGCCGAGTGTTCCTTATTGGAATTGGGGTTAATCTTTGATTGGATTACTCTGATATATAATGTTGTGGGATTTAGACCAACGTTGTTTACAATACTTTGTAGCCTCTAGTGTATTTTCTTCCAGGATTGCCTTGTTTTTGGCCCCATCTGTCTTCCATCTTTAATGCTGGCCAACTTCTTTTCTCCTGCTGAAGAATAGCATGCCCACAGCACATTACTGCCACTGCCATGTTTCTCCATGGAGATGGTGCTTTCAGGGCCATTATAAATGTTATGTTTTTTTGTTTTGTTTTTTGTTTTGTTCATTTTGGGTATTCTCCATGTTTCATCTGTAGAAAACAGCAGTTTTGAGACCAGTTATAGCTTTCCTTTAACAATGGCTCCCCTCTTGTGATACCTCCATTTAGATCAGAATTAGGCCTATCTTAGAATTTTGCTCTGTATCCTTGGCTCTTCTGTTCTGTTCTACTCTTTCTCACCCATTTCTGAAAATGGTTGCATAAGGGAATGGCGTTAAATACAACTACAGGCTGCATTTAGAAATCAATTTGGATCTATTACTTCACTGTCCCCCATCATTTATAACTTTGTGTTTGTCTCATGTGCAATCCATATAACATGTATTATAATTTGTAGCAGTAAAGTGATTACATATGACAAAATGTGAGGGATATGAAGGGTTTTGCAAGGCTCTATACATTTGTTAAAGAACAGTAGACCATCCGGCCACTGCTGTGATTTGCTAGACACTGATTGTTGCATTTATACCTCAGTGTCTCTGGGAGTTTAGATTATTACCTCTGGTTATATTTGTTGCCCGATTATTACAAGAGTCAATATTTCATATTATTTGACAACTGGAACTATGGAGCAACTATATGACGTGAACAAAACCATTCTTTAAATCCAAAGCTGACGAGTTGAAAAACAGTTTAAACATTCTAGAATCTTATTTACTTTTGTTTTTCAGTTTAAACTCTTTAACATTTGAATCCTCTTATGTAAAAATAAAGCTTCAGAAACGCTCAGACGTTAATGGCTACTACTAAAAACACCCAAACACAGATAGGGATATCTTGGTATGTTTTATGCCTAGGACAGGAAGTCTGCAGAAGCTCTGCAGGAAGCAGAGAGGTACAAGCGCCTATGGTTGTGGTGTAATATCACTGTGCGTACGTGGGTATTCTATGAGATAAGAGTTGTCATCAGGGTTGGGAGGGGGGTGTTTTCCTAGTAAACAAACTAAATGATGTTAAGTATGTGTGTGTGTGTGCATACCCTCTGCTACAGCATGGTACCGTGGGATCGCTGAGCTTACAGGAAGGGTTGCCTAACTCAGAGCCAAACGAAACAAGCCCCTCTGTCTCTTGTCCAAGGAAAATAAACAGCCAAAGTTCCGCGCCACTGGTGATAACCATCACACAGGCTGCACCCAAGGGATTACATGCAGACCAAGAAAAAAAAAAGCACTAGTTGCCCTATTACACCTCAGCTTTTTTGTTTAAAAATAAACTTTTTAATAATCTGTGTTTCATTTTCTCTTTGACGTTAGTCTTTGATATTCTTGTTTGTTTGTTTTTTTCCAGTAAACCGACTATAGAAGGGAGGAGACAAAAGCAACACACTACCTTCCCACTCGACATCCATCCCGCCCACTTACTACTAATCACACACACTCACTCTTCTCACCTCTAGATTCTCTGACACAGAGCAGCCAGTCTGACACAAAGACGTGCAATAGATAAAAGGAATTACAGACTCTAATAGATAAAATGAATTAGAGACAGGGAGGAATAATAGAGAGGACAAGATAACCTAGAGAGACTTACAATTTCTTCTCATCCTTCTTACATGGACAAAAACTTCTAATTGCATCACATCTGCATTTTGCTCTGTTGAGAAGCGCATTGATCTGAGCTGACCTCAGCTTCTCAAGCATTACCAGCCTTTCTATGATGTCTTGGGACTGCGGTTTGAGATATGTCTTCATGCCTCCTGTGTTGCAGCTGGGCGGTATTTGTGCTTTGCGAGACGGTAATGGAAGTGGCGGCGGCGGTATGGGGACGGTATGCGGCCGAGAGGAGCTCACCAGCCGGTTGGGACTGGAGGCTGTTCAGCGGCTGGCGAAAGATGGCTGCCGGCTCCTGCAGAACCACAACTACCGTTTACCTGACAGAAACCAGGCGGTTAGTAGAGTTTCTTGTTTTGGGTTTAATATAATTAAATAAAGGTCTTAATTGCAGATTACAGTTTCGGGCAGGTGAGTATTTGGACCCTATTTTTCGTTTCAGTTCTTTTAATTGCAAATGTTATAATTCCATGCTGGAAGTATGATTGTTTCCTAATGAGGGATGCGCCCTATATAGAGTGTGCGCAATAGTAAGGCAGCCTCATTTGAGACAAATGGGCAAATAACTGAGAAAAGTGAAGATCCAACAAAAAAGTTTGTAAAATGCTGTTTATGATGCTGCAGCATTTTTTTTAAATAGTAAAGGCGTTAGAACACGATTCCTGAAAAACATGTTTTTTTGTTTCAAAGAAGAATCACAGTTTTAAAAAAACTAACTTTGGTAGTTGAAGAACCCCTTTGTCTACTGATGCTGTTGTATTCCTGAACAGTAACCTATCTGGGGTGTCCAAAAACGCATGGTGCTCAGGGCTCAAGGTGGGAATAGCTACATCCATCACTGAACAAGATATAGAAGACCTTTTAAGAAATCTGACAAATCCGATGTTGCCTTTACTATCTCTGAGGACAGTTTTTTTTCTTAACTTTCCTGGATAGATGAAAATAATATCAAGTCAAACCTTGATGAAGCAGATAGATGGGCTACAGACAGAATCTGCAGTCTTATACAGGTTTGGGCAGCTGTTGTTAAGCAAGGTTTGGATGGAACATTCTGAGCTGAAAATTGAAATAATCTCCACAGTTTCTAAAAAACATTTTCTTCCTACATTTGGGCTATAAATATTCAGCAGCATTCAGGAGGATATGTTTTAATGCAAGAGATGCCACAATCCACAGAGACTCCATAATGAGTAACCAGTAAGGCCTACCATTAAGCAGATAAACAAAATTAACCCCCATTAAGAGATTGTATGTCCCTCTGAATATTTGAACAAAATGTAACACTATTTTAAAGTGTGAAATTTAAAAAGAAAAACAGTGCATCTCTTCCAAACACATTAGGCAGGCTGCAAGTTTGCCAGAAAAACAAAAGATACAACAACAAAAACGAATAATTAGAAGATTTGCATAAAGGCTGATGACAGTCATTTATCAAAATGTTGGATGATGATAATTTTCTTAGCTTTTATTTTCTTTATTACATAAAAACATACTTTGACAGATTCCCAGTCTTGGTGCTCTCTGTTATTCTTTTTAAGAATGTTGATGACATTCAGATTTGGGGTTTGTTACATTTTGGTTCACCTGAGATCAAAACATGTATTACTATTAAATTAAAATCAGAAATAAAAATTTCCTGATAACTGTGCACACAGTGCATATTCATGATTGATGGTGACGCTTTGCAAACTACTACATGTAATCTGCAAAGTAAGTTGTGGCTAGACGGTTAGCATGAGTAGAAAGTAATGGACGTCATGCGGGAAATGTTGTCATGGCTGTCGTCACTTTTAAACACAAACCCAAGTGTTAGTCATGGATTTAGGTCAAAGATGAGCAGAGTAAATCCTGATCAAGGCTACCATGACTGGTGCTTCTGTCCCTCCATGGTGCACATTTCCTGCTGCACTGACCCGTCTGATTATCACTCATGAAGACATACAGTCACTGTGATCTGACATAGACACCAGCAAGATCTCTCGCTGCAGATAAACTGGTCTTAGCTTCATTTAGATTACTTTTAACAACCACCACTTCTGTGCTGCAGCTCGTCTGTTGGTGGGTGTTAATAACGGCTTGCTGCAGTTGCATCTCAAGCTTTTATTACAAGTTGTCAGAATCTTTGTGTGTTCATTTGTGTGTGTGTCACTTTTCTGGCTAGAGCTTATAATCATTTGTAAGAGCTTTTATGTGAACGTTCATGCGCTGCGGGGTGCTGTGGCAGACTGAATCAGTACAGGCTCATAATGAGTGCGGTGTTAGTGAGGCTAACTGTATAATCCTACTCTACAGTGTATACCTAAGGGCAGTGAGCAAAGCAAAAGCGGTCTGATTTCCTCCTACTTGATGTGTTTATGAAATCTGTTGCTGATCACCCTGGTGTTTTTTGGAAGCCCAAATATAGAAAGAATACTTTTGTTTTGTGCATAGTTTCATTTCAGTTTTGGCAAAGATGCAAAAGCAAAAATACCGGCCATCTGACAGCAATGCTGCAGGTTCATAGGAAAGATTGCTTAATGTTTATGCGGTAATAATACACTATTGCAGAGCCAAGTAAGTTCAAACTGGGTGCAGATTAACCTTTTAATAATTTCCAGACTGATATAATTAATGATAACATTTTTCAGCCATTTGTACTCAAAATATAACATGCAAATATTCAGATTTCTGTTTTTTTTTCTCTTTTACGTTGAAATGTTTGCTTTCTATGATGTTTTCAGATTATTATTATTTCATAGGAAAATCAGATTTACTAATTTAATCAAACCACCTACATTGTTGCTAGAAAACAACTGTTACTAAGATCCCATAAAACCCTATTTAGCCTGATTTTAGTGAATGATACTTAAAAGTTATATTTTCTTCAGTCATAAATGAGCTTAATTAAAGATTTTTCAAGAAATGTTAAAAATTATGATAAAAAATTTAAAGTTGCACAAGGAAAACACGTATTCAGTATATACGGTAGTGAATTATAATATTGGTTACTGTTTACCAAGATTTTCTTCTGTTCTGTGTACAATATTATGACGAAACTCAGCCAGAACATGAGTATTGGAAAACACTGGCCTGCTCTAAAAACTCCGATATTAGAAAGCTCATAAAAACACTTTGCTTGTATCCAGTTTTGTTTAAAGTTGATGTAACATTATGGTGAGTAAGAAATGGCTCAGTTGTTCTTATACCTGTTGTTGTTAAATACTGTTGTTTGAGAAATATCACTTTATCTATCCTTTTCTACCACCCTCCACTACTAAACAAGTATAAAAATTGTATATGATTCATGCTGATATTGTATCAGGCCTGTATGGGTATTGGTAAATACTCAAAGCTGCAACATTATTATTGTATTAGAATTTTTTTAAAATGTATTGGGACATCACTAATGGTGGTGTTACGATCAATCAATCTATATTGTGATGAAGACCATGATTAGAATCTTTAGTGATGCTTTGGTGGTGTTTTAATCATTTGAGTAAGTAATAAAAATATTTATCTTCATTTGCCATAGCAACTTGTAGTGTACATGCCCCTAAAGGAGCAGTGGGTTGCCGCTATGCTGCATCCATAGATCATTCTAGGAATAGGAAGCATTATGCTAAGGGATGCAGAGTGGCAGTCAAGGAACATGTAGCCTACCCAGGATGCAAGCATTATGTAATAAATAATAGGCTTACCACTCCACAAATCCAGTTTTGAGCTGGTGCACCTCATTAGGAATTGTTTAGTAGTTTATTACTAAAGTAACTATAGAAAAAATAGTATTTTGGTCAGAAATTGTAACATTTCCTTAAGACCTCTATTATTTTATATTCCCTTTAAATCAGTTGTTGTCCCTGTTCTTAACTGAGATTCAATTTGTATATTAATTATTTTTTTAAACATATTTTTTCCTGCAGTAAATAAAATGAACCTTTCTTTTAACTATTAAGGTTCTTCAAAATTAAATAGATAATTTTAGGCTAGTTATTGTGGAAGATGGAAAAAAACAAGCAATCAGTTTCATTAACAGGAGAGGCTTTTCTTTGGCATTTCGTGATTATTTTGTTTCCTTTTTTCCTGTTTGGTAAGCTCTGACAAATCAATGTGAGCTGTTTCCATAGTGATATCATTGGTGCCCGTATTTTCTGCCAAGTTCCTCTCTGCCTGTCAGTCACTTCTGACTTTAGTTTTGCTTTGCTTTATTTAGATGTCAGAGTCAACTTCAGTTTGTCCTGCAGAGAGAATTATACAAGGTTGCAGACTTCCCATTGCACTCATTTATTCAGGTATATAGCATCTCTGCTGGTGTTTCCTCCCAGCTGTTATGGGAGTTGCAATACAGTGCCTGTTTTTGTGCCACCAACCTAAAGGGATTGGGTTTCATTTTCTTATCATTTTTTCCCCCTGGAATTTTGCCATGTTCTATCACAACACAGATACTCACTGGAAGCGAAAACCTCCTCTCAGGTTTATATGAGGTTTTCTTAAAATGTTCTAGTATGCATGCGCATGGCAGAAAATCAAATGTGTGAATGACATGAAAAGAGTGTAGCCGAGCATCCAAATTTATTGCAGTGTGCTGAATACATAATGTTATGTTTTTCATTATTTATGTAGATAAGTTAAACTTTTTAGATATAGTTTGACTCCAGGGCATTTTAACTGGCCTATTTTTTTTTGCTCCAAAATCTGTAAGTTCTCAAGCATGAAGTCTCCCTGTTGTGAAACAGACCTGTGGGAAAATCTGTAAAAGGAGAGAAAACTGTAGCAACAGATGGTTGACTCTGAAAAAGTGTAGGAGTTTGTTTGACCCCCTGCTAGTTATAATGTAGAGCTACATTTTATGATAAATGCAAAAACCTCTGCATCTCGAAACTTAAAAGTTTTTCTATTAGTCAAATTTAATATTTGTACTAATAATATGTACTGTTCTTAATTTACTAAATCAGCATATGTGATATTTCAGATCAAGCTAGATGTCATTAAAATGTTTTGTAATTTTTTACTTTTCTTTTATGGCTGATTAAATTTGATTTAAGAATCAACACTGATTCTTAAAGTCTGAGCACCTTGTCTACTTTAAATCTAAAATCCTATGTGAAGTTTTGGAGAGAAGAACAGTGAGGGGACATCCAGCTGGTTAAATGCATTTTATGCATACAGGTTAAAGGCATGTCACTGAAAATGTTATAGCCTGTTGTGTCAAGAAGGGCGTCTGGCTTAAAAGCTTTGCCAAGTCTTCGAGCAAGTCATGATGACTTTCTGTGGCAAAGGAAAGGACTCCTAACAAACGTGGAGCATATTTTGCGATTTTTTTTTTTATTTTTTTAGTTGAAACACTTATTTAACAATTCATTATTTAGAGCTTAGATATGTTTTTTTTTCACCATCACCAATGTAAAAGAAATATATTTATATAAATATATTTTCTTATCTTCATGATTTATACAGGACTTCTTGGTTATGTAATGCTTGTTTAATTTTTACTATTTATTTCTAGCTGGCCTTTCCTTTATTACGCATCAGACCCTGTTCTGAGACGGGAACAGTCAAAGCTGATAAAGTTGGGTGGTATTTGAAGCATAGACGATGTGGTCTAATTGCATGTACCACTTGCACCACTTAGTAGATGTAATATCATGACATCAGATCTGAGCTGTTGGGTGTGGTGTTGGTGCCAGTCCCCAGTACAGTTATTAAAAAAGTGTTACATCTCGTTAAATTGGCCATCACAGGCAAATAATGCTTATCTTAAGACTCCAACTGAATGCTATTTTCAACTGAGGAATTTTAATTTGTCATACTAGAACTGAGAATGGTAATTTGTGGTATTCTAGTTGATCAGTCTAATATGTTTGAGATGAAATATACGTGAATTGCAATAAATTGATTCATTTGGGATAAGAATTATGGGAAATACAAAAAACTGTTTGACAAATATTTATATTTTTTAGTATCAAATCTGACAGTCTTAGGTTCTATGCCAGATTTCTCCATCACTTTGTTGATAAACTAGTGTAATAAGCAAGGCATTTAACTTAGATATTGCCTTGTCATCTCTATGATTATGAATGGTTGCATCTTTCTGAGGGTTATTAGGTGAATGTGGCTCCACTGTAAAGGGAGTTGGTTGATCTGTATAGTAAGAAATGCAGTGAGTGAATGTACTCACAAGTTAATTAGATTTTTTTAATATGATTTCTGAAGGTCATTAGTCACACTGCATTTTATGAAGTTGTACGTTTCAAGAAATCTAGCTAACTATACAAATAAGTTTCACTTTGTCATATTGTATCACTGAAAAGCTATGGTAATAAATTAAAGTGAAGTTTATGGTTCCTATTATAGGAATATTAGTTAAATATACGTCCAGCTGAGACTTGCCACTATCACACCTGGGTAGGAGGATCTGGTAGCTGTTGAACATCTGGACCAGATTTTGGTAGAATGACTTATTACTGTAGGAATCACAAAGAGATGTGGGAGCGCCTTGTTTGGTCTGACCAAAGTCATATCCCACCTGCTGTCTCTCAGGATCAGACGGTCTTTTATCTGAAAGTCAGACATGGCGTGTGTGGATTTGTTTATGTCTGCTTGCTGGTGCCCATCTCTTTGTTGATATGCTCTCAATGTTATCGGAGTATCTGAGCGATCATTTGAAGCCTGAAATCTCCAATTACTGATAAAGCATTGTTACAGCTTGATAAAGGCTAACTGTTGGCACGGCAACTTTCGCTCCCTAAATCCTTGATTTTAGCATCTATATGAAACTATGAGCCAACTGAACTGAACAGAAAGGTAACGCTAATGCTGGGAGCTACATGTCAGTTTGATTGCTGTGTGTCACAGACTGCAGTGAACATCTGCTCCTGCTCTTCTGCCTTTGATCTCTACCTCTTGTCTTCTTTTTTTTCCAAGCTCATACTGTTTCTTCTTTTGCTCATCTGGAACTTAATTTCTGTATCACTTGACTGGCACGGCAAACGTGTTTGTGTGTCCGTATTCTTCTCAGAGTTGCTGCTCACTTTTTGAAAACAAGATCATTTCAGATGTTAGCCCACATACCTCGGTGTCCCCGCAGCGTAATTTGATATGAAGGGCCACACCTTTAAAAGAAAGGAAATGAAATCCTTCTATTTAATGGAGCCAGACAAAGCTGGGTTGACATGCTTAAACTTAATGATTGTTTCATGTCTTAAAGTTTTTTTTCTATAATAATCAAATAATTTCATGCAACAATTGAATAATTATGACCTACCAAACAAAATACCATAATGTTCTAATGTCACCTGATAGTCATTCAGAATTTTCTCCACACCCTGTTGGGCGCAACAGGTAATTGCATTGGAATTTCAAGGCATGCTCTGCTGTCTAGTATTCAATACACATATGGCTGCATCAGTCTTTTTGTAAGTAGTGTCATGAAGTGGTTACTGCCTTAATAATCAGGAAATGTTGTAAATAAAGATGTTGAGGTTCAAGTACGGAATATGTAATGACTAGTACATTGTTTAAGTATTAGATGTGTGTGTCCTTTTGCATTTTCGTCATTGTTTCACTTTATCACATTCCTTTGTGATGTTTTTTTGTTGTCTTTTGGTTCTTTACAGGAAGCAGTGGGTAGGGTTTGTCTGAAGGAAAGAGGACGGGACGTATTGGTGTTGCGGAGAGTAACAACATCAGTGACATCACCGTCTGATCGGCCGTCACCTACGTCGTCTGGGGGAGTGTCCCGGGAGGACGACTGCAATAAGAGGTCAGTCCTTCTGCCTTTATAATCAGAACCCTACACACTAACAGTAACAACAAAAACACATAATTATAGCGCTCCTCCCTCTACTTTTCTCTTTTTGCTGCGGGATCTCAACTTCCAGCCCAGAAAAACAGCAGCTACTGTATTTGTGTGTGACCAAGTTAATGTATGCTTTAGCTTCTGGCTTCGAGCAGTAAGAAGAGAATGGGTTTTTGTTCTCAGTTTAAAGGGAGAAACAAGATGACACCAAGATTCTATTATTTGGGTCATATAGTGTACACATTCAAAGCTGATTTGTTTCTGCAGTGTCTGCCAAGACCTGGGGCACAAAGCAGGGAGTGTCAGACAGGCAGGTTAGGAGTCTCTGTGTGTGTATACAATTCAAAGCATCCTCAGTAACAATCATTTCCCTCCCAGGGCTACTGTTGGAGCTGTCAGGGAGAGGGCTTTAATCTCAAAGGCTTAGAGCTTACAGCAGGAGCCAGCACAACACTGAACCCCATGGAGGATCCTTCCTCACAGGGAAGCAAAACTTAGAAAGGACAGATTGTTGGCATGTGATAAGACATGAAGATGAACTCTGAGCTAGCTACTCTTGCACAGGCAGAGGAGGATATTGATGACGATGAAGATGATAATGAGAAAGACAACAGTGAGAGTGGCTCTGATGATGGAGACTGTGGCGGGTCGGAGCCATGTGCTTTTGATGTTCCACATTTTCCCTACATCGATGATGATGTGGATGAAGAAGATAAGGAGAGAGGATGGAGAAATGGAGCTGGACACACTTTGTTTTCCAGTATTTTTGAAGAAGACTCTTACCGTTCTTCATCCTATAGGTATGTTGTGGTGTCGGGAACACCACTGAAGATCTTGGAGCATCTACTCAGTGACCTCCGACTGGATGATCAGAGAGGAGCGGCAGAGAACAGAGAGAGCGGTAAGGTTAGCAGCATGACCAATCAATGCATGTTAGAGAAACTTACTTTGAGATTGTAGGATACAAAAATCAGTTGTCTTTGGTAAAAAATATAATTGCAAAGGGTTCGATAAAAGCAAAGTTATAAAAATGTTCTCTTTCTTCTGTTTAATTGGATAAATAAATGACAAGCACTACTTTTATATAAGTGACCAGACTGCAAAGAAAAGCAAATCACAATACTGCATACCACACCGCTTCTAAGGAATCAACTTTTCAGTGCAGCACAAGTTACAACACAGTCCAGCTACTGGTTTTACTCTAGCAATGGTGGCTTAAAACCCACAAGGTATGCATTTTCCTTCAGTGCCTTAATGTGATTGCAGCTGCATGAGTCAGCTAGCCCTGCTTGAGTCAGCCCGTACAGGTGCATTCATTCAGCCATGTGATTGGTTGTAAATATGAGGAGCATTTAGGAGGCTAAATGCTCTAATAAGATTATGAAACAGCAGCCGGAGGGTGCTCAACATATTTCTATAGTGAATGGTTTGTAGAAATGTTTCAGAGACCTCACTTCTTTTGCAGCCATGAGCTCTAGCCAGTATTTTTCTGTATTTCCTGTACTTTCTGTAGTCTTTTTTTTTTTTTTATATATATATATAAAAAAAATAACTAGCATGCGTTTCTCCTCGCTACTTCTGAATAAAACCCAGCAGCCTTCAGCGTTCTTCAGCATTAATCTGGCTGTTTAGTGAAGGATAGGCAATTAACAAGAGAAAAACCTGCTCAGGTGTGATGTTCATTGCATTGCTGCGTTGCACCAAAACGGTCCTAGTTTTGAATCTGGATTCAAAAACATGACCAAACAAGATGTTCGGTTTCTGTCAGTTACTCTATTAAAAACGTGTGTACCTTGTTTTTTCCTCCCCCCATGTCTCTGTGTTACCTGTACTGTTTACTTTAAGTAGTGTACCAATCCACCATAGCCAGCATCTAAAGCAGGTTTAGATGATGGATGGATGAATAGATGAGCCAAAATTGGCAGATACATACCTCACGGGATCTCTAGCTGTAGAATTTCCTTAGGGGGAATGGGGAAAGAAACAAAATCATTTCCACTTTGAATTTATGAAATTATTTTTGTTGGTTTTCCCACATTAAAAAGTTTTCAAAAGGCATTCAATTGAAAGTTTTTGACATCTTAAAAAATGTTGTTAATCTTAAAAGAATATGTTGTGTTCAGGTACTTCAGTTGATATTTGTTTTCATAGCTGTGGTTTAAATATATAGACTAAACAGTATTCAAACAAACATTTAAAAATATGATTTAAATACAAATCACCAATCTTTTTTAGTTGGAGATCAACTTTTCTCCCCTAAAATAAAATATGATTATTTGTAAAAAGATGAGCAAACCTGCAGCAAAAAAATTATCAGTCTTAGTGTCTAATTACATTTTCAATCATATTTTTATATCCTGCATTTATTATAGTAACTTATATTACTTTGACTTGTTTTCTATTTCAAATGTGCTTTTTTCAAGACAAGAAGTCTTTATGAATCAGCTCAGGCCTGCTCACCAGAAGCTACGAAAAAATCCACAGGGAGCCATCCCACTGAATTGCAGGAAGCAGAGAAAGAAAGAGGGAGAGATAAATGTGGGAGAGAACTGAGATGGGCTTTGTCAAGGAAGTCCGCCTAATATTTATTCACGGAAGAGGGTAAAAGAACGTAAATAAAAGGGGGGGACTGTGGAATCAGAGACTGTCCATGTTTTCCTGCCCTGTGTATTTATGCAGCAGGATGTAACCTGCACATATATGGGGTTTTATATGTTTGTGTGCGTGGTTTGGCTCCCCGAGGTGCTGCCAAGCATCAGTGCGCCGTTTTAACTGGCTTAGCAGTGCAGCGTGTTGAACAGGCTCTAACATGCTTCCATGGAGAGAGAGCGATTACCCAAACACCCCATCGCCGTGTACACGTAAACCAGACACACAAAAGAAAAAAAAACAACTGAAGCAGCTGATTACTGCGAATAGTTCAGCACACACATTTTATCCACCTTTTCCCTTCTCTCTCACAAGAGATAAAGTCCCCAAGGTCAGAACTGAATGAGTTATTCATTAGGGTGCTGCGTGCATGTGTGTGCACTGCACCATCTGCAACTGTGTGTTTGACTTTGTGCATGCCAGCGGGCAAACGCAGGGGGGCATATGTTTGAGATGAAAATGGATATTTATCATTGCATGGAGCTAAGCGAGTATGAGCGTAGGAGGAGAGGAGTAGTAGGAGGAATTATGAAGGCAAGTAGGAGAAAAGGAAAAAACGGGGGATGAAGAGAGAAGAGGAGCGTGCTCTTGGAGGGGAAGACTGGGAATGGAACCAACCTGGTGGAGAAATGACTCCCGTTTATTGATTGCAATTTAAAGAAAGTAATAATAAAGCAAAATAAGAGCCTTTTAATACACGGCAATCTCAGTCAGTCCTTCCTAAAATATTTCTGAAGAAACTTGCATTTTTATATCTAAAAAAGAGACATCTGATAAATTATTTATGTCACAGGCTGTACTCTGTCTTCTATAATTGATTTCTGTGCTCTCTGCCTCACATGGCCAAATTTGGGTCGCAGGGTTTTTATTTTTTGCTGAAGAAAAAGTTTAACAACACACAAATGAACACAGCTCTCCCATCCTACAACAATGGCTCATTACCCATGGGCGCTAAGGGCCATTTCTGTGTGATTCATACCCAATGATCACCTGCTGAGTTTTCCGCTCTCATGATATCCCACTTGCACTTCAATCTGTTCCTCTCTGTTCTTGCTGTGTTGTAAACACTTGAGTTAATATCTTATGGTGTTAATGTAAAAGCCTTTTAACTTTATGCTGCTGATCTATCAAAGCTAGTTTAGATTTTTTACTGTAAAAAACAAACAAAAACTGGTTTCCTTCTATTGCTAAAGATAGCTGGAGTATATTTATTATATTAACGTTTGCAGAGGCAATGCCTACACTAAAGCCCCTGCGCTTTGCATTAAAATAATCCAAACATGCTTCTTTGAGTTTTTCAATAATTGGTTACCAGATATTTACTGCTATACATGAAAACACTGACCAAAGATTCCACAATGACAATAGTAACACTTTTTTACTTTTTTTCCACATCATTCACCAGTACCTGAATACCCGATAAGCTACAACACAAAATATTGCACTGAGGGGGTTCAAACAGCTGGATGAACAGTTTTTATAGTATAATATATTCTAGTAATCTCTGTATTCATTACTTTAAAACAAAAATATTTAAATAAAATGTGTCCTCTGCATTTGGTCCATCACCCTTTGGGAGCATTGGGCAGGCTAAAGCTCCCTGGGAGCTGAGGGTGGCTGAGGGTCTTTCTCAGGGACCCAGAATGTTGGGGATGGAACAGGGGACTTGCATCCTTTTAAGAACACTAGCACTCTCCTCTAAGCCATCAATTACCCCTTTTTGTTTCTACTTCAAAACAATAGAAAAACTCAAGAACTACTCCCTATTATACCTCAAAATAAGAGTCTCCTACATGGATACAAAACGTTGAAATTTAAGCACTCATTGATATGAGGAGATGATAACAATGACCTTTTTTCTTCAGGTGACTTTATGCTGGTTGATACTTGCTAAAATGGACTTTGTTTAGATGAGAAATAATCCCATTATTAATTTTACAATATCAGGACTGCCTCTTTTAGCAAGTGTTAGATCTATGCCCTTTTAGCACTTAGGTGTATGCCATTTATTTATTCTTCTAGACAACATTCAATTTGAATTTATTCCTGTTATGGTTTTGCATAAGTAAACCATATTTAATTAGCCAACAGAGTGGTTAGGTTAGGATAGTTATTATCATGATGGATCTTTTTTATAAATCTAACTTTACCCAGAAATTAATGTTTGTCCGAGATGCAAGATCTGTTGTTTATCTGTTCATCTCCTTCCCATTGCTTGGTCATTTATTTGTCCCATAAAACACCAGGTAGCTGTAATCAAATGCTGTGTATTCCTAATGTGATATGATGTTTAGTAGGATAGTTGAAACGATACCAAAGGCATTTAAAATGACTCATAATATGCTTTGTGTTGCAGAAATGCTGCTGGATGACTTCCTGCTAACCTACCTTGTGTTCATGTCCACTCATGACCTCTGTCAGGCCCTGCTGGGACAATATCCTTACAGCATGAATGAAGTCCTGCAAAATCCCACACATTTACTCTTTACACACAACGTTTTGGTTTGTTGTCTCCTTGACCACATTCACTTATAGCAGTGCACGCTGCCGGGGCCAGGAGGAGGGCAAAGATGCCCTCTTTAGGAAGCGGAAAGTATTGCGGCTGGTGTCTCATTGGAGCAGACTTTATAAGGACTTCCTCAAGGAAGAGGAGCATGTCAGGAGCTTTATGAAGGTATGGAAGCACTAGTATTAGTCATTCATTATAACACATATATTTATATCTGCATACATCCTTTTTGATTCATAAGAGCCTTTTAATTAAAACTACCTGAAGATTTGTAATTTGCCATCTCCTGAGGGATCTGAAAATTGTTTTTATTTTTATGTTAAATATTGATGTTTTTATCTCAGTACAAAACATTACTGAGTGTATATTGAAGGGTTAGACGTACAATCTGTAGCTCGCGGTCTTCCATATGGGACAGGTTGGCGTATTAGCTGTAAATAATTAGTCGTAATAGGCTTTGATGAATCAGACCATACTTTTTTAATGCAAGACCCCAGAGGAGCAGCAAACGCACTGAGAAGTGAAGAAACAACCCTCCACTTGCTTGCTCTTACATAAACCGCCTGCTCCTTTGCTCTCTGATAGGTTGCCATAGAAACCACAGTCGTAGGGTTGGCAAGGGTATCATTTTATATGGAGTTCGTAACCCAGGTGATAGTTGCCTAGTAACAGAGTGATGCTGGGATTCATGGGGCTATAGAGGGTCAGCGACAATGATAAAATGTGTAGTTCCAGCTTGTTGAGATGCTCAAGGTTATTAATTCTCCACCATACTGAGGTGATCCCATTCAAAATGGTTATTAATTTAGCCACACAGACTGTGCTAATGCTGAGCTTGATTATGCTTGATTTCCCACTCTTTTGCAATCTCTTCTGGAATATCTGTAACCAAAACACTTTGAATAAATAAAAATGGATTAGCTGGAAATGCATAGTCACAGTTGCTTACTAATTAGAAAAGTTGTGCTGTCAGCTATGAGCATGGAACTTGATTAGATTAGATGGTTACCCTAATAGTACAAAACTGGAAAGGATGCATGGCCATGTCTTAGGGTTGTTTCTGTCCAAAAGAAATCTAAAAAGTCCTGTACGCTTTATCTTTATTTTTAGCTTCCTAAGTACACCCAGGAGTTTTAGAACATTTTAAAGTATGCAGGAAAATCTCATAAAATAATTAGTCTTAAAGAGAGAAACCTCAGAAGGAGATGCTCAGCTAAGGAGAATATTTTTTCATGTTGCCTCAAAGGATTTTTTTTTTTTATCTCAAGATTTAAGAATCATACTTTTTCCACCTAGATAAATACGCCATATGTTTCACATATTATATATTCTTATTAAAATTTTTTAAATTATATTTCAAGCACATCACACTCTCAACACATAGTTTGAAAAGTTGTCTCATTAATAACCATGTAATTCTGAGCTGAGTAAAAATACCAGTTTTATTTTTCTGTCTGATGTTGCTATAAAACATTTAATCTATAACACAAAGAGTTGCCAAAAATAACGTATAAACAACTCAACTGATGCAGAACTAATATCGCAGTACAGGGATGTGTGGCAATTGAAATTTTTATATTACCTGTTTCTCAACTGGAACATTTCTAAACTTCAGAATCAGTCTTTCCAATAAGTTAATGGGAAATATGGGAGCCTTCTTCTTTGTTCAGCTGACCAGGCAATAAATAAAATAACATTCATCCAGGAAAACTCGGATCACTGTCTTTTTATAGGTTCCACATGAGTTTTTTTTTTTTTTTTAAAGTGTGGATATTGAGACAGTTGAGCTGTAATTGATCTTCATACAATAAACGAGTGCATGCATAAACTGTACGATTAAAAATTAGAAGCTAGCATGTGTAATGTCAGCTTGTTGCAAGCTGCTACTTCTTCACTGAAGAGTCCTTTGAAAAAAATCCCAACTCGTCCTCTAACAGAAGCTGTGCTTTCATTAATGTTCATCAGCTCTCCTGTTCTGTCTGTCAGACGCTGTACAGGTATGTTCTAGAGGATCTATACGAGTTCCCCTCGCTGGAGAAAGACCTGAAAGAGTTTCAGAAACTTCTGCGCCGCAGACAGTAAGCACTTCTTGCTAAATGATTTCAGTGTCATGTTGTGTGTCTGTATTGCTGCATTACTGCTACATACTGACACTGTGTGTCACTGTCTTGCAGCACAGTGGATGACTGCCCTACTAACCAAAAGGTGTGTAAAATAGGTAGTATCACATTTAAAGGTATATGTACTGTAGGTTTGAAGCTTTAGTTGACAGTGAGTCCAAACGATCTTTGAAAATGTCACATATATTTTTTGGATTCTGTTGAATCTCTGTGTTTGTTCTTCTTTTTCTGGTAGAGTAAACAAATGTACCAGCAGATGAGCCTAAAGGAAAACACTTTGCAGCTTCGCAGTCCACAGACAGACCACAGAGAAGGTGAGTGAGACATAAACACTGAGCAGCTCCATATAATTATAAAGAATCGCAGATTTAAGTTTCTGTTGTTTTTTTTTTAAATAACTCAAAGGCAAACTGTTATGTTTTTCTCAAATGTTGAACTAGACAATAATTGACCAAGATTGTCCTCTCTGAGTTTTACTGATGTTTGCCTCGAAGGCAAGTTGCATTTCCCCCTTAATGGTACATTTGTAAAATAATTTTTCCAGTGATATGTTGCGTTTATGTGAGCCCTGATTCCTACCTAAGTGTCCACACACACCCTGCGCTGGAGGCTCGGGAGCTGCTAAGGATTGTGGCTCTAAAGCTGGACAAAGCAGATGAAGACATGGTGCTGGCTGTGGTGTTACATACTGGAGGTGCGCAAACAAAAAACATTAATTCACACTGATTTCATTGTCACAATAAATTCATTTGTTCTCTGACCTTTTTATTCATTCATTTATAAAACCTAGAGTAACTTTATAGCCACTAATAATTTTCTGGATACTTGGTACCAACTATTCCTAGCTGGTACCAAGTTCTCTCATTTTCTGATTATCTTCATCATCCTAATAATGTGTTTTTATTAATTTCTCTCTGCAGAGCGAAGGATGCTGCAGCCCAGTGACTGCGTCTATTCAGAGTCACTGACCCCACAGGGAAAGCTGGTGGTCTGTCACAGGGATCTTACAGAGATCATGGTATGTAAATACCATTTTTATTATGAATCCACTTCTCTGTGGAAATCAAATCAGGATGAACAAAATGAAGATAAAGATGTGCTTCTTAAAAAATCTGTACTCCTATTATTTCTAGTCGTAACATTTGTGTGGTGTAATCCTTTCATGGAATCAGACATGGGGAAAAAAACTTCTGATTTGTTCTATAATATGGGCAAGTTTGTCACAAAATGATATGATCAAAAAAGGAAATAATTATTATGCTATTTTTAAACGAAAATTTATATGTACATGTGCTAAAATTGTATAATTGTGTACGTATTAAAATTGTACTATTATTTAAAATCTACTTCTTGTTTGCTTGTATTTGCAGCCACCGTTTACAGACTGTGCAGAATTGTGCAGGAGGCCGGTTCGACTCTTAGGCATCAACACCTGGGATGTGGCAGCAGCGCTCACCCACCTGGATTGGAGTCTCTTCAAATCCATCCATGAGGTATATATACATGCTTTTACAAATATCTAGTGTCCAAAATATCTTTTTCAATCATAATCCTGACATGGATTGTGTTGCAAAAAAATCACAAAACTGCAGGTCTTGTACAGTTAGGCTTGTCATTTAGAATCTATTTTATTATTTGAAAAAAAATTATAATCGCACTGTAGAAGTTCAGACAAAATTAGGAAATCGGAAATTTCAGTAAACAGTGATTACATGTTCGAATGCTGCGTGAAAATCACAATGGAATCATATAGTTGACAGTTTGGAGTCTTCCTACACTTTATGCTGACATAAATGCTTTGTAATAAAAATTTGAGAAAGAGATTTGTGGAAATAAAGTAGATTTTTTCTTTACTGTTCTTTTCATTTCAATATTCTGCATTACTTATGCAATGATAGGATTTTCTTGTGTCTTGCAGTCCAGTTAAATTAACCCCTAGATCAAAACATTTTTCATCTGTGTGTTCTTTGGGAGCTGCTTACAAAGAGCAGGTTTAATTGTAAGAAAACACAATTTCTGTATTTTCTACTGTTACCTCACATGATATTGAATAAGAAGTTGTGCAGTTTAGTAATCCAGAGGACAGTCACTGTACATGATGCAAGCCACCACCATCCAAAGTCTGAAACATGTTCTTATTTTTGAAGAAGTTTTAAATAACTGTAAAAAAATGTCTCTTGCTTTTGTCATCAGCTGGAAATGTGGTGAACACTTCATGCCAGCTGTTAGGGATTCAATACAGTATTAATTTCAAAAACATATCTCTGTTGGCCATTCGCAGCAGGAGCTGGTGTACTACACTCTGAGCCGCTCTGGCCAAACAGCAGCGCTCACCGTCCTCCTCAAGCGCTGCAACGAGGTCCAGCAGTGGGTTATGTCTGAGGTGCTCATGTGTGTATCTCTCAATAAGAGAGTTCAGCTGCTAAAGAAGTTCATCAAGATCGCAGCTCAGTGAGTGCACACCAAACAACAATACAAACCGAAAGGTAGCATTAAGAGTCTGTTTCGTCTGATTCCCTTTTCTCATTCTGTTGTTTGTCGCTTGTAGCTGTAAAGCCCAAAGAAATCTAAACTCTGCATTTGCCATTATAATGGGTCTGAACACAGCTGCTGTCAGCAGACTAAACCAAACTTGGGAGGTGAGAATGTGTGATGATGGCCATTTATTCAAATTAAAAGTGTCTGTTAGACTTTTTTTTAATCACAGTCAAATACTGTGTTTCAGAAATGCCCAGGGAAGTTCAAGAAGTTATTCTCAGAGTTGGAGCTTATCACGGTGAGAACTGAGAGAGTTGCAGACAGAGCTTTAAATGTGCTTGTGGGATTTTTTTTTTCTTTGATGGACAAATCCCTAAATTTCTCCCTTTTAAAAAAAAATAATTTCTCTCTTCCTCTGAATCTTCACAGGATCCTTCTCTGAACCACAAAGCTTATAGAGAGGCCTTCAAAAGGATGAAACCTCCCAAGATCCCTTTCATGCCTCTTCTTCTAAAAGGTATTCACCAAATGCTCCGCTCACACATAAATATATATATATAAAAAACTGCACTGAATTAAACTTTAATATGCCTGTCCACTGCCTTTAGATATCACTTTCATCCATGAAGGAAATAAAACCTTTCATGATAACCTGGTTAACTTTGAGAAGCTGGTGAGTTAAGTCTTATGGTTGTTGCAGCTTTAACCATTTAAATCAAATATTTCAGTAACTTAATAAATCAAAGTCTTAGAAATATTTTTTTTCTTCTTTGTTAAAAATATATCATACCTGAAACCTCTACTGTTGTCTATGAGTTGTAGGTGGCAGATTGTGTAGCGTTTTCCTTAAGGGCTTTTGATTTCTTTTTGTATGGCTAATGATAGAAATGTAGCATTTAATTGTTTAAACAAACCCTCTTTCATTTCCATAGCATATGATTGCAGAGACAGTGAGGATGATTCGCCACTGCCAAAGCGACCAACCAGGTGTGTGCCAGCATTTCCGCTTTTTGTTTTTATTGATACAATAGTTATGCACCACAGGGGGGAAAAAAATCTAAAAGGTTCCATGTTATTGTTTGTACTTATAACCTTTACCTTAGCCTGAGAAAATGAATGCTACCAAGGTTCACAACCTTTTTTTTTTAAAAAAATTGGTTTTTTTTGTGGGATATTAGTGGGATATTTTAATTAGGGCTGCATGAGATTAAGAAAACATTTCATGTGAAGTAATAATATATAATATATAAAGTGTGGACCTAAAAGGCCAGGGAAATCCATTTCCACTGGCCAAATGTAGAATTTAAAATGTAGAATCTGGAACTAAGGTGCTAGGAAAATGTTAGCCTCCCAAATGTTACATTAAAGCAGTCCTTTGCAATTTTCATAGTGAGCTCACTAATAATATAAGAACAGCTGTGGTTTGATAAACTGCTCTAATCTGACTGTATCAAATCCCAAGGGAAATTACCTGCTTGTATTGCTAATTATATCTACCCTTCTAAGTAGTTGCAGTTTGCTGAGCACAACCATTTGCACATTTCTGCTATTTTCTTCACTAGATGCCATTTTGACATCCACATTTCTTTATTGGTAATTAAAAGGAGTATGACCATTATTAGTTGAACTACGGCATTTAGATATAGAACTTTTCAGCTAATTATGATCTTGGACCAACATTGAATCTGAAACTTTGAACGCCAGCAGCGCCTGATTTGTACTTTGCAATGACAAATCCTTGCAACCTTGAAATGTATTCAAAACATTTGGTCAACATAAAACATCAAATTCTCCTAAATATAAAAAAAAAATGAATTCACTGACTAGTCCTGGGAGATTTTCTCTCCATGTTTGATGGTCATGTGGTATTATGGTATGAATTATGATTAAGTAGTCATTCATCATTATCATCATCATTATTTTTTTCATCATTTTACTTAGCAGTAGATTCGATTTTGCATAAAGGAAATAAAAGCTTTTTAGTGACATTCTCTATAATTGCAGTATACAAATGATGCTACATCTAATTAGTATTCATAATTGTGTGTATAGTGATTGTACTAATCTACATTCCTTAATTGCCTTGTGAGGCTACAATTCTTCAAACCAAAATTCTGAAATAACTTTAGAATTTGATCAGATGTTCATAGATATCTGTTGTAAAATATATCAGTGACCCTGTATTGAGCCTTGCTCTCACATGGATCATGTTTAATTTACGCTCCCAACAACTAAATAATATTTATGCACTTAGCCTCCTTATTTCCAGAAGCTTATTTATTTACCATTATTTGTATACAAACTAAGTCGGCTTCTTTAGACTGGATCTGGTATGAAGCTAATTACTTTTACAAGTCATTAAATTATTAAGAAGTGCAGGAACTAAAGCTGCAATGTTTAGGATAGATTTTAACAATTATTTTTATTTTTGGTGGAGTTACACTGCCATCTGCAGGTCAATTTAGAGTATTACACCTGTACCAGGTTATCGGATTTACGTTTCATGGTTGCCAAGGAACTGCTTCCTGTCAGTTTTGTTTTTGGTTATTTTATCTATATGCATATATTTACTGCTTCCCAGTGGGGAGACCTCCAGAAAAGACTTGTGTTTAACTTCAGGACGTGCTCTGTTTGTCTCCTAGGCAATGAAGTGATTGGAGTGGACAGTGCAGAAGTGAGGGCGAGCGTTCACTACCTGCACATCATCGACAATCAGCAGACACTTTTTGAACTGTCCCACAAACTGGAGCCACGAGCTTAAAAAAAAAAAAAAAAAGCCAAGGGAAAAACGTGGGAATTGGCAGTCTGCTAATGGGGACTCTTTGTACAGCAAGCTGTCATAAGTACACTGCAGCAAGATCACACAACCAGCAGTGATGTGAGATGGGCACTAATTTGTCCTCAAACACTGTTCACTCTCAAAAGTCTTTCTTACACTGAAAATGTGCTTGTAAAAGCTTTTGAAATGCCACACACTCCCCGAGAACCTACAGATACAGGATGTGTGCAGGAAGGTGGAAACTGAGCGAAAGGTTGAGGAAGCTATTGATGAGTTTGTATAGTACCTACATTTCTGAGTAGGCTTTAGTTCTTATCAGTTGGTTAATATCCTGTGTATCAGGTGGAATATTTCTTTATTTTTGTAAATCTTGCTGCTCCCATTGAGCATAGACTAGAAAAAGTCTCCTTATTTCAAACTCAAACACTTTTTCTTTTGAAGAGCTTGCCGTGTATCATAGATTGTCCAGCATAATTTCAAGTCTATAGCTCAAAGATGCTTCCATAATCATGCTATCCAGTTGAACTACTTAGCCATTGCGCAGGAAGAATATTGTTTTGTTTCTGGTTTTAAAGGCCTGAAAGGTTCTCATCTCTATGGCGTGTTATCAACATAAATGATTAGTTAGCTTTGTACATACTGATGATCGAACACATTTCTGTGCCAAATGTTTATGTTGAGTATTGCAGCCCGGCTGTGGTAGTTCTCCTGTTTTGTTTGGAAGCACAGCTTTCGTCGGCCCCCATTAGAGGCCCTGGCATGATGTCTGCTGCTGTATCGCGTAAAGCCACTCTGAATACTTGCAGAGATACTTTCTGTCATTGTGATGACTGACTTTAGGGTGTTATTAAATCTGGTCTCTACGGAAACTAGCAGAGATCAATGTTTTTTTGTTTTTTTATCTTTAAAGGTCATCGTGTCAATGTTTTTTATTCAAACTGCAGCACAACAGAAAAGCTTTGTTCCACTGAATCACTTTCATTGGAAGAAAACAGATAATTAATTCCTACAGACTGCAAACAATGTTTCATTTTGAAACGGTCTCATTTATACTGTGAGAACTAATTCAGGATGCTGACAGATTAATGGAACCAAAGGAAATGACTTTGAGATTTGTTTTTCCAGTCACTGTGGGGGAAGCTTTGATGAAACTTTCTATTTTATGCCTGCATACAAATGCAGCATGTTTTATTTGGAGGCAAATCATCAGTTATTATATGTCTGTTAATGCCTTTAGCACATTTCTTGTCACCTATAGTAGTGAAGTTTAGGTATTTAAAAATGGTGATTCCTAAAACAGTTCAAGATCAAGACTGTGGAGATCCTCTTACAGATCTTTATTTCGATTTCAACACAAGTATTTTCGCAGAGCTTTTTTCATCATTCTTATACCAGTAGAAGAGATTTCCTCTAACCATTTCTGTGCAGACGGTTTAATAATAAACTTTCAAAAAGGAAGAGCTGTTACAAACACTCGCTTTTACCCAAATGAGTCGGGTCCATCCGGAAACATTCATGATAATGTTTGATCTATTTTGTATCAGAGCAGGAGGATAACAGCACACAGGTTACGCAGTCATACATTCAGTCTAGATACACCTGACACTTGTTAAACAGTTTACCAGCAACTCTTACTATACTGAGCTAAATCACTTTCAGATGTCAGCTTGTTTGTTATATGAAAGTCGCTGTTAAATCTTATTTGGCAATTATACAACTTTATTATGAAAATGCTCCCGGTGATGCTCTATCAGTGTACAGTTGCAACGGCTTGTACATCAAAGCAGTTTATGTTCAATGTAACTTTTTATTTGTTGCTTACTATAAAGCTGTGCACGATGTACATACACCCACCTTTGCTGACCATGTGTAAAGAAGTTAAGTTAGTTATTTATTAAAAAATATTGTTTATTTATAGTGACAAAAAGCCTTGGTTTTTGTGCCATTTACAGTTTTTGAGAATAGCGGGTGAGAGTTTTCAAGCTGCAAAGCATCAGGTAAAGCGTTTTGTGCTGTTAAATTAGCCACTAGAGGGCAGCAGAAGTGCAATAATTCTATCAAACATGAAAAGGACAAGAATACAACTGCAGGCTGTATTCAGTGTTTTATCAGCCGCTGTAAAAGAAATGTACAGTTCTGTTTTTTAAAGCTGTTGTTTAAAACCTGTTTGCATGAATAAAATCACACAAAATTCACAATGTAAGAGTTAAAGACAGGATTTGTACAATTGTAACATTGTTTGTGTAAATATATGCTCATGTTTGGTATGTTATTATTTATGAGTTTTAAAATGGAAAAGAAGTGAACCAAAAACCAATACGTCTCCTTGTCTCCTCCATTCAAATTCATGTTCGTTTTCCACATACAAATAATTACTTGCATCTTGTTTACAATGAAATATGACAACAAAAACGTTGTGACTAAAGAAATATGATTTTTATTTCTCCTCTCCTTTCTGTTAAAGCAAAGTTGTGTTTAGTCACTACATACATGCTCATAATGCAGGATTGCTGTAATGAATCCATGCAATCTGCCGTTTCCTTAAATTGAAAAGTGTTTGAAAACTAGGATCAATTTGAAATAGAAATTAACTTAGAGTGACTTTTTTTTAAGGGTCTAAAGAGAATGTTTGAATTAATACCACATAAATAAACAGAATTTCATATTAAATATTTTTTCAAGAACTATATTGAATAGCCAACTCATTACATTATCAGATTTGTTGTGTTGCATATCTATACTGAAGAACTATGCCTTTGGATAGAAAACCAAGTTAGAATTTATCCTAAACTATTATGTTTGAAATAATTTGACTCTTTTCAATGAAATTCTTAGAATCAGAGTGTCTTAAAAAGTACAGAAATATAATCTGTTACTGACCACAAAGGAAACCCTGGACCCTCTCTTGAAAGAGAACATTGGTCGACTGTTTTTTTTTTTTTTTTTTACTTTTCTACCATCTATGTGAGTAACAGTTTACTGGTAATGTGACAGGGGGACTTAAGCATTTTTTTTGCAGTTAATTAGAGATTGGGAGAGAAAATACATGGAATTAGGTCTTGAGGTCAGGAAACTCGGGATGATATCGCTAGCTGTGCTTTGATGATGATATTTATTTCAACTAGGAGAGACTCACACAGAGAAAAGTTGCAATTTAGTTTTATTGACATGAATGAAATTGGATCTTTAGCAGAAGACTCTGGTACTGTAAATTGACATGCAGTTGGATGAATCGCTTTGGAAATAATTAGTAGTCTTCCTGCTGGGGCCCATTTTCTGCGAAGCTAGAAAGAGAAGTTATTATAAACCCAGCTTTGATAAAATAAAAATGACACGTTTTTATTTAAAATTACAGTTTATAAATATGAAATAGGGAGTAGTTTTACATTTGGATTGTACACAAAAGACTTAAGCCTAATTAAATCTGTCAATGGTACAGGAAAATGTTTTTTTACAGCACATATAAAGCAGAAAGGGGAAGACTCATACATCAACAATTAATAAATCATTTTAGAGAATGGTTTACCCATGATAGTACAGGAGAACAGAAAACGGATTAAGTATTAATCCTCTTTGGGACTCGCAAAATGAGGAACAGTAGAAAGCACAGCTTAATACTCTCAAGAAAAAAAAGACCTCCAAAAACTTCAAATGGACACAAAATTAGTATACTAAAAATAATGATACTCTTTGAGCCTCACAAAGACCTACAGTGCAGGTAAGTGCAGCTTATTATCACTCTCTCCTGTTTATGATAAAAAAAAAAAAAAAACATTTAACAAATTTCTTTCTCTGTGAATCACCTCTCAGTGCTTCATTCAGCACCTATAAACCATCCCACAGGCTGCTTTTTTTGTTTTACTTTTCTTTAAATGTAGTTCCCCTTATATTTTAGTATAGGCCTATTTACATCCCTTATCTGTTCTGGCTGAGATGCTGAGAAATCGGATCTGAGATTGAAAAAAAAAAAGTCATATGCATGTTTTTTTTTGTCACCTTCAAGCAAATATTTGTTTCATCAGACGATTGAAGCTTTCGAGCATGATATTTTCTCGATCTGTCCTAGGCAGTTGAAGATAAATGAGTTTGAACTGAAAGCAGTGTCATATTCAAGCAGTTTGAATAAAGAATTTTGATTCCAAAAAATTTAAACAAGTACTTAATTTAACTAGATAGTGTATGAGCAAAATGAAATTACAAATGTGTGCTTATCAGACCAGGTGAGGATGGTTTCTTAGTTATAATACATTATTCGGTTCAAATCATGGTATTAAGTTCAAACAAATATAATGATGCAAGATGCAACCATAGGCACTATAAAGGTATTTCCAAGGAATCATTGTGATCCCAGGAGATGAGATATCATTGATTTAGTGATAAGCCACAGAGGGTTAGCTGGTCCCATAAAGAGTAAAGGTTGCTGTGGAACAATCATTAATAAAACCTGTAGGAGAAGCACATCCAGATCTTTGTGAAGATGTTAATATAGCAGTGTACATTTCAGGAATAAACTATGCTCACTCTGCATGCATGTGCTGCAGTAAAATATGAAGAACTCTAAAGTCACAAAGAGGTCAAAGCAGAAGCAATATTACAGTTGCTCACAAAGGGCCGGATCTATCAAAGGTTTGCGTGTATAAAAACGTGAGCTATTTCACTGCGCACGCTAAAAAATGTACAAACGGATCTATCAACAGTGCGCTAAAAGGATTTGGTCTTTAAAATGTTCTAAATAGCGCCTCTTATCCATTTAGTACTTTTTCTGCAATGAATATGCAATATGGGGCGTTTACACGCAAAAGTGCGTCTTGTGGGAGGAGAACATGTAAATATATTAATTTAGCACTCGCAAAGTGATTTATCAAACCTGAAAGCAATTTTGCTAACGGTATCTGACTCTATAATTAACACGTTTCAAAAGAAGGTGCAAATGGTCTGTATGCGTAATTGCGCACACATGGCAGCGGTTATTGTCGCAAAAAGGAGACATCGAAATG